TTTGGAGGCCATTAATTGTAATTAGGTTGGAGGCCATCGCTAGTAGGCTGGAGGCCATTGGTAGGTTGGAGGCCCATTGCAATTAGGTTGGAGGCCATCGCTATTAGGTTGGAGGCCATTGCAATTAGGTTGGAGGCCATTGCAATTAGGTTGGAGGCCATCGCTAGTAGGTTGGAGGCCATTGCAATTGGGTTGGAGGCCATCGCGAGTAGGTTGGACGCCATTGCAATTAGGTTGGAGGCCATCGTAGGTTGGAGGCCATTGCAATAGGTTGGAGGCCATCGCGAGTAGGTTTGAGGCCATTGCAATTAGGTTGGAGGCCATCGCTAGTAGGTTGGAGGCCATTGCAATTAGGTTGGAGGCCATCGCCAGGAGGCTGGAGGCCATTGCAATTAGGTTGGAGGCCATCGCGAGTAGGTTGGAGGCCATTGCAGTTAGGTTGGATGCCATCGCTAGTAGGTTGGAGGCCATTGCAATTAGGTTGGAGGCCATCGCGAGTAGGTTGGAGGACATTGCAATTAGGTTGGAGGTCATCGCGAGTAGTTTGGAGGCCATTGCAATTAGGTTGGAGGCCATCGCTGGTACGTTAGAGGCCATCGCGAGTAGGTTGGAGGCCATCGCTGGTAGGTTAGAGGCCATCGCGAGTAGGTTGGAGGCCATTGCAATTAGGTTGGAGGCCATCGCTAGTAGGTTGCAGGCCATTGCAATTAGGTTGGAGGCCATCGTGAGTAGGTTGGAGGCCATTGCAATTAGGTTGGAGACCATCGCTAGTAGGTTGGAGGCCATTGCAATTAGGTTGGAGGCCATCCCGAGTAGGTTGGAAGCAGAACACTTTCTTATCTTTTTTTGCTAGTCCCTTTTTATGTTTCAGATTATATGACTCTATGCGGCCTCGGTTGAACCGAACACTGCGAAGTGCATATGCTGACTCCATGCCACGGTTTTCTGTATGCCCGTGGAACAAGACCCTGTCTTGTCAGCATGGATCAACATGCGGCACTTCTGAAAATTGAAAGACTTGAAACTAGGATCTTCTAAAACTTGTTCAGCGGGTGACTTTGTGATGGGCGACAGCAAATCCACGAAGTCTTGCTGCTTCAAGAGAGTCTTGGCCAAAGCCTCAGGCCGCCCGTTGTAGCCCTGGACAAGCCACTGGCCATAGATTCCCAGGTCACTCAAAGAGGCCCAAAGCCCTCCAGCGGGATTTGCGTCGATGATCTCTGCCCCTTTCATGTTGAGCGGATCGAAGATCAACGTCTTTGCCAAAGTGCCAAAATCCATGCCCGAAATCCTTTCTTCGATCAAAGCCAAGATCTGTACACCATCAACATGGACATAAGTGTGCACAGTATTGAGCTCTGGAATGCAATTGCTCAGTGCCCCATATTGCAAAGTGTTGTTCACCCAGACTGTGCGGCTGGCAATATAGCCATGAGACCAAGACGCATGGAATTCTGCCCATTTCTCATCACTCCACGGTGCACCTGCACCAACACAAGCGGTGTGCTACTAGGAACAAGGACGCTACTAGGGGCTCCTGGCATTGCTACTAGGAGCAAAAACGCTACTAGGGGCGCCTGGCCTTACTACTAGGACGCTACTAGGAGCAAAGTCGCTACTAGG